GCTCAACATAAATTTTATGAAAAAAAGACACGTAAGATGTTCATCAATAGATGAGATATATTCAACACACATGAGAAAGCATAAAATATCTCTGAGATGACCCCTTGAGCCTGTAGGCAGCACATGCATTTCATGCCAGGTGAGTCGACGGTCCGTCGTCATACCTGGCTGAGCGACCTAATTGCCATCTATAGTCTGATCTATCGTTTTCAGCAGCTACCGGTATTATTTCTAAGTTTTGCCTGATTTTACACGTAAACATGCTTTTCTGGATATCCAATTACGCATTCCACTGAATGCCCAGTTAGGCTGATGTGGGTTATTTCGACATATGCTATTTGCAGTTGTGTAAATTTTATGGATACAGAGTAACAGCCTAAAAACAGTTTTTTCTATTTCCGACAGTACTAGTTCACATGCCTCATCCCCCCTTTGTTCCATCATCTCAAGTTGGTCTTTCATAGTGCACACATTTCGCCCTGACTAATCACTTTTACACTATGGTGGTGGATGGTGGGCTCCAACTACTTGGCCTGGGTATTTGTTACAGAACGGCATCAGTCCAAACCAACCAAGGATGCTATGGTTGGCACGAGGCAGAATGAAGTGTTTGGAACAGGACGCCAATTTTTACCACAGGTCAATGCAACAAAGTGCAGCCCAAGAGCTATAATCATTCAACTTCGCTCCAGTGACACACAGTTAACGGCAGCCAACTCGACCATGACATAGTGAGTGAGTTGGGTTTTATACCTCTCTTTTTGCAATATTCCAGCAATATCAAGGCTGGAGACACCAGAAATGGGCTTCACACATTGTGCACGTGAGGATCGATCCTGGTCCTCGGCGTGACAAGCAGATGCTTTAACCACTAGGCTACATAACCACCATCAATGACATAGTGGCATCAATCCTTTATATAGGACTCTAGCAGCCGAACACCAGGGTCATTGTATCTGCATTGCTGTCCAGGCACTACTGTAAGTAACTATTACAGGAATCAGTGTCGGATGCAGAATGTCATCAACTATGGGCTCTTAATGGGGTGTCACCAAAAATTAGCTTCACACATTGTACCCATGTGGGGATTCGAACCTGGGTCTTCAGTGTGAGGAGTGGATGCTTTAACCACTAGGCTACCCAACCGCCCCCATGTGCTAGTGACAGTGAGTGAGTGAGTTTAGTTTTACGCCGCACTCAGCAATATTCCAGCTATATGGCGGCAGGTGCTAGTAACAAATTATACTTCCCAATTACTACTCGCATGTTAGGCTACCTACCTGTCAGCATTGGGCTACCTACTTGAATGAATGATAATTGATTTGTATAGCACCTGGTATCCAGATTAAACATTACTACTCAACAGTCTTGTTGAAGTGAGCGGATGAGTAAGAGAAGAGTCTTTTTGTTGGACAATTTCTGATTTCCAGTGGAAGAGCATTCCACAGTTTTTGAGTTGCAAAGCATAGAGCCACTTCACCCATCTTTGTTTTAGTTTTAGGAACTTGAAGTAGTTTATCATTGGTTGATCTTAAAGCTCTTGTGGGTTGGTAGCGATGTAACATGTCCATAATATAAGGTGGGGAGTTTTCATCATTTTGTGCTGAATACGTATGTGGTGTGGTGGTCTACGGGTAGCCAGTGGAGTGATTTCAGGACAGGGGTGACATGGTCAGTTCTCTTGGTACCAGTCAGCATCCTCGCAGCACTGTTCTGCACTTGTTGCAGTACCTTGGGAAAGGGTTCCTTTTTTCCCCCACTTCTTTCTTCCGCAGATTAACAGAGGTAACGCAACGTGGTTCGACCCATAGGCGCCCGACTCTGATATATTTATAAGCATCTTATATATATATAGGTCATGCTTATACATATATCAGAGTCGGGCGCCTATGGGGGGAACGGGAGGAACTCTTACCCATTTGACACTGAAATTTCGAAAATGTGTGCTCACTGCTGTAATTTGTATCTCTTTTATGCACTTACGTTACGATATGCCAGATTTCGCCGTGATGAACCTGCTGGTAAGGTTTACAGTTCCTTATGCCCGTCGTCAGTATGTTGTGATATTGATGCGAGACACTACCCCGCTTACAAATTTCCTGCCTTCGCCCTCATTCGTCCATCTCGGCGAACATGTGATTGGCAACCTAAAACTCTTGACATCGCGCTCCACTACAACGGGGTTGTAAAATCGATGTTCGGAGCATAGCTGAAAGACTGGGGTCTTGTCTATTTAAACGAGTAGGTTGAAAACGCTAAGCAACTGATGCATACTAACGGTGGAACCAGTTTATACAGAATTTATGCGGTTAACAATCGGAACGGCACTGTCGCAAATGGTTTTTTATGCAATTGACAAAAACAGCCACATTGGGCATAAATTATGTGAAAACTACATTTGGTGAAAATAGGCTGTGGATTCTGCCACGAAAATTACAACAACGTATAGCTCATCAGCTGATTCATGTGAAAGTCTGGGTTAACGTTTGGTCTTCTGCAAAACATGCATGACTGTAAGAGGCGACCGACCGGATCTGATGGTGAGTGTTGTTAAACAACAAAAAGTACAGTTGAAAGTACAGCTTTAGTGGCTGAGATTAATGATGTCATTTCAGCCACATATGTCAAATGTTTGGCTTCACCCAAGAAAACCAGCAAATAACAGAACCTAATCTGAAATAGAATGATGACAGACTGCACATAAAACTTCAAAAGTATCGATATAACTCACACAACTAGGGACACAATCATGCAGGGGAGCAACCATTTGTTACACACTTCATAATTTAGTGTGTTTGGGTAATGCGGTTGGGTAGCCTAGCGGTTTAAGTGTTTGCCTGTCTTACCAAAGACCCGGGTTCAGTTCCCAACATGGCCTATTTCTGGTGTCCCCAGCTTTGATATTGCTGGAATATTCCTGTAAGCATCATAAAAACATTCTCACTACCCTGTTGGGGATTTTTCAAACTTTGCCTAGTTCTTATCCAACTGGATTGTGTGATTTTTTGTCGTGTGTGGCTACAGTGGAAGCTCTCAAGTCAAAACCAGCAGCCCTCCAATCTGGCATGCTCTCAATATCAGCACTAGAATTTGGTCCTGGCAGAAGCCAGTTAATGTATGATCATTTACACCGCCTCTAATCCGGCGTCAGTCTATTCCATATTTTGGCACAACAAAGGCCCATTCGTGACCAACTCGTGTTATTCCCGGACAAGCCGAATAGCGACCTTCTTGGAGGTTACGGAAAAAGGCGAGTGGTGACGAATGAACACAGACCGCCCAGTTGACCGTTATTAATAGTTATTAGCAACTAACGCTCTCTAAACTGGTATGTCAGATCTCCTGTTGATGCTCATAAAAGGAGTATGGATATAAGGATTAGGCCTAAGTAGGTGAGGTAAATTGGTGAGTGACATGTGTCACTTGTATACTTGCTTGATATGCTGAAAGACGACAGATACTTTGCTTTGACAAGCGAAGTAAGGTTATTACAGTGACATCTTACGGCATAGGAATGATCATTCTTAGGTTGAAAAGGGAAAAGTTCTCTTAACCGGCACGCCCTCTATACTGGCAACGAATGCCGGTACAGAGGGCTTCCACTGTATTTCCATTTAAAGTGGGTGCATATCTCAAAGGCATTGTGCTGCCAACTGATAAGGTAATTAATTATCTGTACAGTTTGCTACTTTACCGAAGATAGTGGAATCATCACGAAACCCACAGACCAAAGACCAACAACCATCTTGAAAGTTGGCATGGTCGCCTGAAGAAGTCAGTTGCAAAGGCTCACCCATCCCTGTTTCAGTTTATTTTGTTCTTGAAACCGGAGCAGAATAACAATGAAACCCTCCTTCACTAGTACCTCAGTGGAGGGAAGAGGCCACCAAAGAAAAGGAAATATCAAAATTTGGTCACCAGCTTCTTGACCCTCAAGGACAGTATTCAGACTAACTGCATCACTACGCTTCAGTTTGTGGACGAGGTTGCTGCATGCTGCACTTTGATTGAAATGCATGAAATATATGAAAGTTGCTTAAAATAAATGTATGTAATTTATGAAAATTGTTCAAAATTTAATGTAATGTATGAAAAGTGCTCGTAAATGTTTTCAATGTGATTGATTAATTTATGAATAAATGAACAAACAAGTGTATAAAATATACGTTTGTGTTGTAAAGTAGTGAAAATACTATACACTGTATAGAAACGCATCATCTTGCCAGTCATAAATATTTTTTTTCCCCAACATTTTTTCACATGTCCCCCCGATTTAATCCCCCATGCCATTTTTTCATTAATGCTTTTTTAAATTGGCATGAGTAAACTGTTGCGCCAGGCCGACTTGCTAGAAGGGTCTGAAACCCGATTGCTGGCCTGGCAGCATCTCCCTGTTGACACAAACCCATGGGTATCAATTCTACCCAGCACATTTCCTCACTTCATGGCTGCCTCTGTGGACCACTGGGTTGAGTTTCTTCCTGGAAATGTTTGAGACAACCAGCCCTAATATGGTCCATTTTATAATTTTCAGTGGAAATTAGAATTATAATGTGGACTAGTATGAGTTGAGCTTATTAGAACAAGCAGAATTTTACTGGACACAGACTTTGGACCAATGGCTAAAGTTGTTGGAAACTAGTAACCATAAGCATGTAACAGAAATCGAATATGAATGTCTGAATACTTAATTCACTTGAGATTTTACAGGCTCCATGCTTTGTTTGTTGTTTAATACCGCTCTCAGCAATATTTCAGTTATATGGCGGTGGTCTGTAAATAACGGAGTGTGGATCAGACAATCCAGTGATCAACATCATGAGCATCTATCTCTGCAGTTGGGATACAATGACATGTGTCAACCAAGTCAGCAAGCCTGATTGAGTGAGCTGGGAACTATTCTAACGTTGAAAATCCACAAGAGTGTTTATGTGGTGGAAGGGTATGTACTTTGAGGAGTGTTGCATACAATACACTGAAAATTCAAGTCAGATAACACAGATGAGAAAAGCTTATTTATTTTTATGAATAAATAAACCATTAACTAAACAGACACACAACGCTCCCCAGACTGGGTTCTGTATGATCACTACATGTACGTCACAGGTTCTAGCTGTCCAATTACAGACTCCGTACTTCTGTGCCCTTACGCTGTTTCTAGAACAAATGACATGCCAAAGCAAGCAATACACAGACATAAATACAATTGGTATTGGGTTTTCTGGAAAATCACAATAGAGTTTCATTTCATGGGATGAACAAATTTTCTGCATTTTGATGCACCATGCAAATGGCTGACATTTGCAATGTTTCTATACTCCAGTGTGACAAAGCTAAAGTCTTCTTGGACAAAGCTTTGCACCTCTTTGAAAAGCCATGTGTCTGCAATTGACTTGCTGTTGCAAATACTTTCTCACGCTCATTATACTAATGAAACTTCAATCATCTTGCAATTGACTGGTTGTTTGAAATATTTCCTCACAATCACAACACTTCACTATACTGTAAGGAACACACACCTCCACAGTTGATTGGCTGATGCACAAAACTCCCCCATGAACAGTAGGCGTGAAACGGTATACCGCGGTATTAGTAGAACTGCAGTATTTTGCCTTCGATTCAATATACCGTAATGCAATCCAAAGATTCAGCATTTTTTTGGTTTTCGTTCCGTCATTTTATTAACCTTTTGAAACCTTTTCTCAAAATCTGTGCATTTCTTTGCTAGACAGCAGCTATTTTCCCCGAAATAAGTTCTAATATACCAAACCAAAACGGACCGAAATGAAGGCCTTGTACTGCAATACGTACTGTAGTATGGGCATACCGTTCTACCCCTAAAGATCAGGCGTCCATCCACTTTAATTAAGCAGGTGTCTCCACATCTGATTGGCTGTTGCAAATGTACTCTCAAACACTCTAATCAAATGAGACTTCACTCTGGAATCACAAACCACTTATCTGCAAATGATTGGCTGTTGCAAATGCATTCTCAAACTCACTTCACAGATGATGTTTCACCTAACAAAGCTGTCTTGACTTCACTATGGCCCCGCACATGTCGCTGCATGTTTCTTGAGGTTGTGAATGCTTTCCCACAAACATCACATGAAAAGGGCTTGATTCCACTATGACTCCTCATGTGGGACTGCAGGGTACCTGACTGTGCAAACTCTCTGCCACACTCAGCACATTTAAAAGGCTTGATGCCACTGTGGTTCCTCATGTGTGTCTTCAGATTACCTCTCAAGGTAAACGATTTCCCACACTCCTCACACTGATATGGTTTCACTCCACTGTGACATATCATGTGCCTGGTCATGTCGCCCAGCTGAGTGAACGTTTTCCCGCACTCATGACACTTATAAGGCTTAAGTCCACTGTGAATCCTCAAGTGCGCCTGAAGGTGGCTTGAGCGTGTAAATTTCTTCTCGCACTCACCACACTGATAGGATTGGACTCCGCTGTGCGATCTCATATGTATTTTCAGGTTTGACGATGTTGTAAATGTTTTGTCACACACGTCACACTGATGAGAGATCAGTCCACTGTGACCAAGCATGTGCGTCTGCAGGTAAATCGAGCGTGTAAATGTTTTCCCACACTCTCCACACTGAAAAGGCTTCAGTCCACTGTGGCAAAGCATGTGCCTTTTCATGTCACCTAATTGAGTAAATGTTCTCCCACATTCCCGACACATATATGGCTTTATTCCACTGTGAATCCTCAGATGGGCCTGCAGGTGACTTGAGCGTGTGAAAGTTTTCTCACACTGGTTACACTGATACGGCTTGATGCCACTGTGACTCCTCATGTGTGACTGAAGGTTACAAGATTGCGTAAATTCTTTCCCACATTCAACACACCTGTAAGGTTTGATTCCACTGTGAATCCTCAAATGAGCATGCAGGCCACCCGACTGTGTAAATGTTTTCCCACACTCCCCACACTGATATGGCTTGATGCCACTGTGGGAAAGCATGTGTCTTTTCAAGTCGCCTGACTGAATGAACGTTTTCCCGCACTCGTCACACTTATGGGCCTGCTTTGAACGATTCCCACAATCTGTGTCATCAACAGCGGAATCTTCTGTTTCCATAAATGCTGTGTCATAGTCAGTGTTAACACCAGTGTCAGTAACAGAATGTTTCTTGAGATCGCTTTTCCCTATCAGGGTTGTGTCACAGTCAGTGTTTATTCCCGTATCAGTGAAAGAGTGTTTCCCGAGATCATCTGTCTCAAGCAATGCTCTCTCATATTCAGTGGTTATATTCCCACAATCTGTCTCAGTAACAGAGTGTTCTGTGAAATCATTGTTTATACTCCCACAATCTGTGTCAGTAACACAGTGTTCCGGGAGATCGCCTTTATCCATCAATGTCGTGTCATAGACATTCTGTATTCTTGTGTCAGCAACAGAGTCTTTCTTGAGATCATCTGTTTCCAGTAAATCACTCTCACATTCTGGGTTTATATCTGAGTCAGGTTCTTCCTTGAGATCCTCTTGTTCCAGCAATCCTTCCTCAAAGTCAGTGACTCTATGTGTGTCAGTGAAGTAGTCACTCCTAGGATCATCTGTTTCCAGCATGTCAGTATCAGGTTCTTTCTTGACATCACTTGTTTCCAGCAGTTCCCTCTCACAGTCCGTGATCACATTTGTTTCAGTGACAGAGCCTGGGCTCTGTGGTTGGCCTTGTTCTTCCATTATTAACTTGTGGATGTTATGGTGTTCACTGAAAACAAAAATTGTCACTTTCTATTATGTATTATCATGAGACGGTTCCACAAGAACACCACTAGTAGTTCTGTTGCTAGGCGCTGCCATATAGCTGGAATATTGCTGAGTGCATCTTAAAACTAAACTCAATCACTCACTCTTTTGCTTGGATAATTTTGATTCTTACGTTCAATATTTGCCTTAATAGTTTATACACCAAACAAACACTGACTAGAAGTGATCAACATAGTCAACTCTGCCATAACTGACACTGACATCCACTTCACTGCACATCTAATCAAACAGTTGCTATAGAGTTACCTCCCCTTTCAATGCTTCAGCTCAGCTCAGTTGCTATATGGCTGAAATAATGTTCATGCAACATTAAATTTTAACTCACTCACTCGAACATTTTGACTGTCTGAGCAGTATCCATTCATGACATGGTTTACTTTGTCATCATGCAGGATGGAGGACAATTACAAGGTGGTCTGGCCTAAAACTGCAACCCATGAAAGACCAATATTCTTACCCGGATCTTCGTTTAAGTTTTTGTCATTTTAGGGTAAATAGACATTGTTCACCAAATAGGTACCACCCAGAAATAAATTCAAAATCTGAGGAATAATGAACTTTGGGTGAATTAAGGATATATTGTGATTAGGGGGAATCAAACAGCACACATAAAACAGAGCCGCTATAGGATATGTTGGGCACCCAGAAAGAAAAAAAAAAGTAAAGGTAACCCTAACCCAAACCTAACCCTGGGCATTAGAGGAAAGGATTACTGGTAAACATGGTAACATAGTTACAAAATAAGGTGGCGAACATACACTATAATCGCACCCATAAAACATAATCAGACTAACTATATGCACTGAAGTTGGGAAAGATTCAAAACAAAACTGACCCGTGAAGGTCCGGGTTAGAATATTGGTCTTCAGTAATTAACCCATGCTTGTCGTAAGCGGCGACTCACGGGATCGGGTGGACAGGCCCGCTGACTTGGTTGACACGTCATCGGTTCCCAATTGTGCAGATCGATGCTCATACTGTTGATCACTGGATTGTCTGGTCCAGACTCGATTATTTACAGAACACCGCCATATAGCTGGAATATTGCTGAGTGCGGCGTAAAACTCAACTCACTCACTCACTCAAAGCAAAACTATTGACTCAAGAGAAAATCTGTTCAAATAATCCTATGTAAAGTTTGGATCCAAATTGAAATGAATAGTTTGGTTAACTACTGCTAACCTTGCTCTAAATTTGAAACCACCATGCCAAAACATACTATCAGAGACCATTTATTATATTCCGAATTTCTAGCGGCAGATGAAACCTTAACCTGTATAATTTTACCGTGGGAATGAAACTATCACTGATGTTACCCATTTATAACTACAAAATCGTATGAACAGTTTTGGATATTTCGCAAAATCAAGATTCCGTTTTCTTTTCGTGCCGGTTTTGATATAACCTTTAGGCTTTGCGATAACTGCAAGCAGTCTGAAGAGAAAAATGGAAGATTGGTATTAGTGCAGGTTGATACATTGTATAAAATGGTTACGGCCACTGATAGACAATTCAATAAGCAGATGTACCCAAATAACCTACCTTCTCAGCAATTAACGATGTGATTTGTTGCATTCTATATAGTCGTCTTTGTGTATAACCTCCCGGCTTTGCGTGCTACATACATACATTCAATTGTAGGGACGCGATATACCGATGTACGGAGCGCTTTACTGCAGACCGATAACTTGAAAACGGCATGTGTAGCAAACGGCTATTGCGCTGTTAGTTAAAACGGATACTATGGGAACCCTGTGTGATGACAAGAATGGGGATTTAAGTCTTTGGGGATGAATATATTTAACTGTGACAGTTACTGACACCTGCGAAACTGACGTTCAAAAGTATCTGAATGACACATTTGGACTACAAGATTAATGCGTAGTCTCTGAATTTATCCCCAGGGTATATAAATTTCGGAAAAATAATAATAATAACTCCATCTAAATTGAAAAAGAACCCATCTGCCGGGAGATTCTGAACCTGAGGAAATCTAGACTTGCGTTACTGAAAGGACTGGGCGGAAAGAAGATATAGAGGATATTTTATGAGTGCCCATGTCATACTATGTTTACGACACGAGTGCCTAAATGTTGGTATTTCCCAAGCGAGAGCGAGTGATATACCGATATTTAGGCACGAATGTCGTAAACATAGTATAATATGGGAACAAATATAATGTTCTATCTATTACCGAAGTCGTCAAATTGAGGAAAATAAACCCAAATCTACCTTCAAACATATGCTGGCTACCCGTCGTCGCGGCATGTAGAAAGCAATGTCATAGAAGAAACGTGACGTCATAGCATTGTCCATGACGTCACGTCACCATGACTAAGTGATATTTTGCCCTAGGGCATCGTATGAAAAACATGAACCCCGATATTTTCGCCCTCGTAGGTAATAAAACATGGTTCAGGTACTGTGATACAGACTACAATTTGTGGTCCGTACGTTTTTCACGAGACTGCATTTATGACTTGATGTTAACAGAGTCGGACTACCTCCACACATCTGAGAAAGTTTCTGGAAACTGAATGAGTGAGTGAATGAGTTTAGTGTTACGCCGCTTTTAGCAACAATCTAGCAATATCACGACAGAGGACACCAGAAATGGGCTTCACACATTTTACCCATGCCGTGAATCGAACCCGGGTTTTCCGCATGACGAGCGAACGCTTTAACCACTAGGCTACCCCATCGCCCGAATTCCCAATGAAGAATCAATACAGAAACGTTGCTGCTGACGTTTTCTGAATCTGATTTGTTACTCTGTAGGTCTTACATGTAGGAGTAGGTACAGAGGGAAGAAGGAGCACTTAACAGCTAATATTTGTTGTTCTCAAGAGCAGCTTGAAAGCTCTCTAGAGATGCGCTCGTCACAACGGAGTCTGGTAGGTGTACGCTGTTCTTACAATGAATGATTCCCTCATCGCTGATGTGTTACAGTGTGGTGGCTGGAGGTGAGGTGAGGTGAAATTGGGTTTAACGCCGTGCTTGAGAATATTTCGCTCATATGACGACCTGCATGGGTGTGTATGTGTATGTGCGGCTGCTTTTACTAGCCCAGACTTAAGATGTTTTTTTAGTGCTAGCCCACTGAGATACCATGCCGCGGTGAAGCATGAATACCCCACTCAGACACATTATACTGACTCCGAGCCGACCAGTCCTTGTTGTACCCATTAATACCGAGCGCCAGACAGGGACCAATAAGTACCATATTTTAACGTCTTTTGGTATGGCGCGGTCGGGGATCGAACCCGCGACCTTCCGCTCTCCGGGCGGACGCTCTAACCACTACACCACGGCAGATCTTTGGTGATGTTGGTGGTGTCGTAGCCCTCGTATCGGGTCGCTCGTATCTGTCGGCCTTGTTTCCTTGGCTGCAGGTATTGGCTGGCTGGTATGGCTGGTAGCATACCCTCTATGATTTTAAAGGGCAAGTGTACACGAAAATTAACCTTTTTGTCTTGCACGTGTTTATCAAGCAGTTTTATATCCAAACCCGTACATATATCAGAAGTAACTAATTTATGTTTTGCGTTATATCAATTCATATTTTCAACATTTACCGAGAGTTCTATGGCCACAATAAACACACCATGGCTTATGTCCCTTGGAAATGACGTCATTGGTGCCCAAATGATAAACGAATGACGTCGTTAGACCCATTTCACGTGGTGCAGGTTTAGGTGTGGTTCTTGTGTCTCGGTGAGCAGGCTACTGTTTTAATCCACCTGTTGCCTGGCCGTCAGCTGGCTGTGTCATCAGTTCTACACTGTAATGACGTTGCAGTTCGAAAAAACGTATACATTGTACTAAATGTGTTGCCACGTAACCAAATTGTATAACATTCAACCTGCGTCGGTTGCCTTTTTTCAACAGTAACTTTTTTCACAAAAACTAAAACGTGCACTACATCTTGCTTGCCATCGGTGAATGTGCCGGCATTCTACGTTTGTTACTAAAATTCCTACTTAAATCGTACAATATGTCCCTCCTCTTCCACCTTCACTTTGATATCGATACCATATCCATGTACATCACGAAAATAAATGCAATTTGCACTTTTGAACTCTGTTTGAAATTCGTTTTTTTCTATATCATCCGCTCATTGTAGATCAAATATACTGAAAATTACATGCATCGTAAACCTCGCCAGTTTTGACACATTACTAAATCACCATTCACTGCGTTTTGCGTGTCCTAATACAAATGTCAAATTTTACCGGGAGAATTGAATTTAAAAGAAAAATACGTATCATTGTGATCAGCGGTAGTTTTGTTGTATGATCAAATCACCAATACTCGTTCTGAAACATTGTCGATGATCTGAGAATCGCTGAGAATGTTTGGGAAAATACGCAAACACAATTAACGTCAAAGTGAATTTTCAGCCATATACAGAGTGTTTATAAAGTCACGTCACATGTATGTCGATTATGTTTCGCCCATAAAATCAATTGTATATAGTTCATCACCATCTTCCTGACACGAATCCCTGAATTCCTCATACAGTTCAAAATAAACTGACAAATGGACTTTGTCACCAATCATTTGAAGTGTTTCAGTGAAATCGAAGGAAATATATCAGATGCCGCGCTGGGAAAGGACCAAAGGGCGGTAACTCTGGCCTGTTTAGCTCCGCAAACAAAGGCATCATATTGGCATAACATTTCAGCACTTATTTTGAGGGTTATACTTACATTGTAAGAAAAATAAGTGTATCTTTTCAAACATTGGTATTAACTAATTAAAACAGTTCACTTTGATTCACATAAGAATAAATGTGATTTATTCGTGGACACTTCCCCTTTAAATATTAATATGAGTCTAATGTTCCTTCTTCTTTCTTGAGACCCGTGAAGATCCGGGGTAGAATAGGTCTTCAGCAACCTATGCTTGCCACAAAAGGCGACTATGCTTGTCGTAAGAGGCGACTAACGGGATTGGGTGGTCAGACTCGTTGACTTGGTTGACACATGTCATCGGTTCCTAATTGCGCAGATGATGCTCATGCTCTTCTTTCTTGCAGTGATGGTAGCTCTAACTCGCCCAGCATCTTGGTGATAGATCCTGGTGTCCTGGATTTATAGTCATTTGTGATAAAGCGTGCTGATCTATTTTGGACTCTTGTTTTAGACTCTTCGATCATGAAATGTGCGTTTTAGAATAGATGAGAAAACAGTCATATGCTCAAATATATACCGTATTTCCTCTATTAAGCACCGGTTCTCTAATAAGCGCCGGGGGTAAAACAATTACGGCAATTAGAGCCAGTAAGTGCCGGGTCCGGAACTCCGTTGAAAATATGCCCGGGCGCTTATTAGATGCAATACGGTACTCACTACGATCCATCCAAGTAAACACACTGAATATATTCACAGCCGGGCTATTAATTCGATCCGTTATAGACAAACGATAGCCAAGACTCCCCATGCATGTTAACTCAGCATCTCTGACACATGTTGAAAGTTCCTTCCAACCTAGCTGATCTCCCAATCAATTAGTGACGACTCACACCAATGCTCCATGGAAATTGTTTCAGTGGCGGATGCCACCATAGGGCTGACTCTTTTTGCAGACACCTGTTGTCACTGATTTTGAATAACCTGTTGGTATTATGTTCATCACTGTTTTGCCAGCTAAGTCCAATAAGAAACATCCTCGGATTGACGTTTTGTATTGCAGTTACAATCACCATGACAGTTTCTTACCTTGAGCCTTAAAAACCGTTTCAAAACCCAAAAGAGCTATCATTTGTTAAACTTCTGCAAATCTATGGGAAAAAGAGAAAACTAACAACACAAAACTTTACCCAGAAAAGGAATTGTGAAAACGGTAGAATTTGGCGGTAACCTTGTGTGTAGTCTATCTATCAAAATATTTGTAGCGCGCTAGGATCTGGCCGAACCACTCAAAAGCGTTAATTGTTGGAGGGGACACAGAAGCAGGTGATCTTGTGATCGCAGATGTCATGTTGGCTGGTAGAGTTTAAAGAGGTCTGCGAGATATGCTGGAGCGAGTCTATGTAGACATTTGAATACCATCACTAGTATTTTGAAACCAGTCCTGTATCTCACAGGTAGCCAGTGGATCTGATGCAGTACAGGAGTAATGTGTTCCCTTCTTCTAGTGCGTGTGATGCTTCTTGCTGCTGCATTTTAGACTCTCAGCAGTTTCTTAATTAGAGAATCCGGCAGTCCTATCAGAAGGGCGTTGCAACAGTCAAGCCGTGATGTGATGTATGCTTGGACCAAGCGTATCTGGAGCGTTCGCTCGTCACGCCGAAGATCCGGGTCCGATTCCCCACATGGGTACAATGTGTGAAGCCCATTTCTGGTGTCTTCCGCCGTGATATTGCTGGAATAATGCTAAAAGAGGCGTAAAACTAAACTCACTCACTACAAACGTAATGAAAATCTTTGTTATTGGCTTTGAAACTGCTCCACGAAGTGGCAATGAGTTCAGTCAAACCAGTTGAGATAATTGGCTCGATATGGTATGTACAGAGGAATAAGCCAATGCGCACTGGCGACTGCGTCTTTCGCAATTTAACAATGTAATTCATTTAAAAAGCTGGTGACAGATGCCGAATCATCAAGTCCTGCAAGAGGGTTGTAGCGGAAACCTACTATCCACGTATGGTCTCTGGTTGGAGTGACAACTCAAACAGGTTTTAGGGACCGTTCATAATTTATGGTGTGTGTGTGTGTGGTTCTCGATAAAAATCATTTCTCTCTCTCTCTCACACACACACACACACACACACACACACACACACACACACACACACAAAAGCCATAAATTATGAAGTCGGTGTAACCACCATTTGCACACTGAAGACACCAGCTGATTGAAGGCAACCTAGGGATGTCCCAAGTCTCAACGTATTTGATCCTATTTTTGTCGTAAGCGCCTTTGCATCTTAGCCACATGCTCTGTGGTTCAGTTGTCAGCGGGAACAGCCGTACAGCAATGTTGTGCTGCCTGAATTGCTGTGGGGCGGGAATAGTCCTGCTGTCACGTGACGTGAGGTCCCTGTATTTGCATAAAGTGTTGTCCATGATCTCGTCTCGGATACGTTCGCCATTCAAATTGCCGTTGAAGGACAACAATTAGGAGATAAATCAGAGGTATGTAACAAAGTTATAATAGCTCTAATTTTTTTATTTAGAACAGAACGCGTAGCTAATATTTACAGCTTCATAATTTCGTTATATACCTCTGATTTTCCAACACAGTACGTTTATCTACATTCTACCATAACCGCGTTATTAAGATTTAAAAAACAACATACTGTGTTGGAAAATCAGAGGTAGGCTATATAGCGTGATTATATACCTTTGCATGACTTTGATTAACCAATCCCAATCCAGTAATTACTAAAGTCACGGTAGAATGGTTGTTTTCTCACCATGGGCCATCGTATACCATATTTCCTCTCAATACTGAAGACGTTGAGTAACGAAACGTTACTGGAACGTCCTGCTTGTCGCCTGGACAACCGATATGGTTGTCTGAATGACGTGTTGCCTTCCCGTTCCCCGGACTTGAACCAGATTGGTGTGAACTGGGAAGATGAGTGCGACAGCAGATGAAACCCAAACCTTGAATGAACTTGGGTAAGCACTCGCTGATCAATGGCGATGATGTCCAGTTAGTATTCCGAAAGGTTCTCCTGTTAAAGGGGAGACGTGTTGCTGTCATGGCTGCACTAAGAGGTCACACTCCATTCGTGACCCACTCGTGTTATTCCGGAACAAGCCGAATACCATCTTGGAGGTTACGGAAAGGAGCGAGTGGTGACGAATGGTCACGAACGACTTTCAATAGTCGTAAGTTAATGTTAGTGTATGGCAGTTACGACTATCTTAGCGCTACGAGAGCTTTAAAAATCTAGGCCCTGGTCCCTGTTCTGCATGCTAACAGCAGATGATTTGCCATCAATTCAGACAATTAAGCATATAAACAGAGCCTTGCGCCGATAACGTTACGACCTGTCGTAACTCTATAGTTTATCACAGGTTAACGAATGTCGTAGGGCTACGAACGCATTTTGGATCGTTACGAACGTTTTATTGTAGGTAACCATGAACCAGCCAAAGCAGGTATTTGTAGACAGCAGTTGGAACATGATTCAAGATAGGCAATGCAGTTCGAGGACAGGTGACATTCGCGACCAACTCGTGTTATTCCCGGACAAGTCTACAAGGTCACTGAAATTGGCGAGCGGTGACAAGAGCATGGGATAAGAGTGACAGTTGCATTTTTCACAGGTTGAATGTTCTTCCGTACACTAATGTAACATTTTAATCTTGAAGTTACAAATGCATGAAGTACTCAACATAACAAACGGGCTTCACACATTGTAACCATGTGGGGAATCGAACCCGGGTGTTCAGCGTGATGAGCGAACGCTTTAACCACTAGGCTACACCACCACCCTTTAACTCTATGTAGAAAACAGCGAGGTGGGAAGGTTTACGCAAATACCCCCAGCAATCCATCAGCAATTCATCTATCTAAAAGGGTCCAGCACCAGCCTTATACCAATTTTTGGTCTCTGGGTAGAGTGACACCTCAATGATGTTATACAGTCTGTAGTGTCGGACTTAACCACCATTTGCGTATATACAGGCGTGGTAGCCGCACAGCACTGAAGACACCAACTGATTGAAAACCGCAGGGTATGTTGTTCCAAGTGTCGATGCTGTTCCAAGTGTCAACCTATTTGGTCCTTGTTTGTGATAATTGGTTTCAGATTTTTGAGGGCATGGTGGGTAGCCTAATGGTAAAAGTGTCTGCTCATCATGCTGAAGACCCCGGTTCAATTCCCCACATGGGTACAATGTGTGAAGCTAATTTATGGTGTCCCCTGTGGTGATATTGCTGTAATGTTGCTAAAAGCAACGTAAAACCATGCTCAACATTATCATCACCAGATTTTGAGACATGTGGCAAACAAGTCCCGATGAGGTGTGAGGTTATCCAATGGAATACATCCAACATGGCAAGTCTGTTCTATTGTCACTGTAATCCGACAGGATAAGCTGTTGACCTTTCTTGGTATCTGGCAATCTTCCATCCTGCACTTGATGGCAAGACTATTACTTTCTACTGGAAACACGTAGTGGTTGCAAATCATTGACGGCAAACTACAGATATTTCCTGGATCCGAGATGAATTACTTATGAGTATGGTTCCTTGATGTCTATGCTGATCCAGTTATCACTCTTGGGTGAAATCGACAAACTGAACTCACTGCAAATGTCGTCTTCAAAATTGAAACAATCAATTAATCTGTTTAATATTTATTTTCAGAAATAACATAGATCTGTTAACAAGTAAAGAACTGCTAATATTAATACAACTTGAACAAAAGAATGACAAATTTGCTACAGAATGTAATTTGCAAAATAGTATGAAACACCAGCAGACATACACTGATATATTTCGTTTTCTCTTTTGTCAACTTTGATCATCATTGGAACTGCGTCTTATTTCACGTCAGTCATTTTGTATCCAGGAGTGGATTTGTGCTGATGTATATCTGGCTTCCTGTTTATACAAAATAATTTGACTGGTTGTCGCTTTGTGTTTTCCTTCAAGGAATAAATGAGGAGGTAAATATATACGATGAAGAGGGATTTGACTGGGGCTATTTGGTGATCTGTAGTATACATATAAACAGCATGTTAACATAAACATCACAAGAATTGAAGGTTATTGTTTGTTAAGATCTTGCATAAATGGTATCAATGCAGTTTATGAGTTATTGTCCTGAATACACTGGGCGCAGTCTGCTTAGAACCATCGGCTGAACAAGCTAATTTGAGCTGAGTGAGTGAGTATGGTTTCACACCGCTTTTAGCAATATTGCAGCAATATCACAGCGGTGGGGGACACCAGAAATGGGCCTCACACATTGTACCCATGTGGGGAATCGAACCTGTCTTTGTCATGACGAGCGAACACTTTTTAACCACAAGGCTACTCCATTGCCCCTAATCTGAGCTGAAACCAGAGGAGCCTTGTCAACAGGAAATCATTATCTTAAGTTCACCACATATTTCTCCAGAAGTTTTAAGATGAACCAGATAATTCAGTTTCTCTGGCCCCTTCTTGACAGTCCAGGTGGGTAACCTCTTGGCTAAATTCTTTTGTTTTGATTTTTTGGCCAATCTGAGAAGAAATTCTGTTTCATTTACACACAGAAATGGAGCAGCAAGAATGAAACAAGCAGGGCAAGGTAAATGTTTTCCCACATTCCTGACACATGTGGTTTGACTCAGATGGGTCTGTAGGACACACGAGTGTTAATGTTTCCTCACATTCCTGACACATGTGGTTTGACTCAGATGGGCCTGTTGGACACACGAGTGTTAATGTTTCCTCACATTCCTGACACATGTGGTTTGACTCCATTCTGAATTTTCGAATGGGCCTGTAGGACACACGAGTGTTAATGTTTCCTCACACTCCTGACACATGTGGTTTGACTCAGATGGGCCTGTAGGACACACGAGTGTTAATGTTTCCTCACGCTCCTGACACATGTGGTTTGACTCAGATGGGCCTGTAGGACACACGAGTGTTAATGTTTCCTCACACTCCTGACACATGTGGTTTGACTCAGATGGGCCTGTAGGACACACGAGTGTTAATGTTTCCTCACACTCCTGACACATGTGGTTTGACTCAGATGGGCCTGTAGAACACACGAGTGTTAATGTTTCCTCACACTCCTGACATGTGGTTTGACTCAGATGGGCCTGTAGGACACACGAGTGTTAATGTTTCCTCACTCTCCTGACACATGTGGTTTGACTCAGATGGGCCTGTAGGACACACGAGTGTTAATGTTTCCTCACACTCCTGACACATGTGGTTTGACTCAGGTGGGCCTGTAGGACACACGAGTGTTAATGTTTCCTCACGCTCCTGACACATGTGGTTAGACTCAGATGGGCCTGTAGGACACATGAGTGTTAATGTTTCCTCGCACTCACTAACCTGATAAGGTAGGATTCTACTTTGACTCCTAATGTCAGTTTACTTGATTGTGTAAACTCTTTCCCACATTCAGCATACTGATATGGCTTGATTCCACAGTGGCACCTCATGTGTCTCAGCAAATTCGACGAGAGTGTAAATTGTTTCTCACCTTCGCCACACAGAAAAGGCCTCACTCCACTGTAACCTTTCTACTATGACTACTATTTCCTGCTGTGAGTCAACATGTGTCTCGTCAGGTTATATGATTTTGTGAACTGTTTCCCACATTCAGTGCACTCATAAGGCTTGATTCCACTGTGAATCAATATGTGTCTCGTCAGGTTACTTGATTGTGTGAATTGTTTTCCACATTCAGAGCACTTATAAGGCTTGATTTCACTGTGAATCCTTGAATGAACGAGCAGGTTACTTGAATACATAAATCTTTTCTTACACTCACCACACTGAAAAGGTTTGATTCCAGTGTGAACCCTCATGTGTGTCTGGAGATGACATAGAAGTTTATACCTTTTATCACACACAGTGCATTCATAAGGCTTCACTGCACTGTGACTTGTTATGTGTGACTTCAAATGACATGGTTGTGTAAACTTTTTCCCACATTTAGTACATTTATAAGGCTTCTCTCCAGTGTGAATCCTCAAATGACTTTTCAGGTTAAATGAACGAGGAAACGTTTTCCCACATTCACCACACTTATGACGATGCCTTAATGGAACCTCCACTGTGACCCTTCTATTGTGAATCTTCATGTGTTTCTGCAAGGTAGATAACTGCTTTAACTCTTTCCCACATTCCCCACACTTGAAATGCTTGATTTTACTGTGAGTATTTAAATGAGCCTGCAGTGCATCCTTTAGTAGAAATGTTTTCTCACACTCACCACACTCATAAGGCTTCATTCCCGTATGTGTCAACATGTGTCTCGTCAGGGTACTTGACTGAGAGAATTGTTTCCCACATTCAGCGCACTCATAAGGCTTGATTCCACTGTGAATCCTTGAATGAACGTGTAGTGCAGTTGAACTTGTAAACGTTTTCTCACACTCACCACACTGATATGGCTTGATTCCACTGTGAGTTAACATGTGTCTTGTCAGGTTATATGATTGTGTGAACTGTTTCCCACATTCAGTGCACTCATAAGGCTTTATTCCACTGTGAATCCTTAAATGAATGCGAAGGGCAGTTGCATTTGTAAACGTGTTCTCACACTCACCACACTGATAGGGCTTGATTCCACTGTGAACCCTCATGTGTGTCCGGAGATCACCCGGAAGTTTATACCTTTTATCACACACACTGCATTCATAAGGCTTGATTGTACTGTCACTGGTTATGTGTGACTTCAAGTGACATGGTTGTGTAAAAGTTTTCCCACATTTAGTACATTTATAAGGCTTCTCTCCAGTGTGAATCCTCAAATGAGTGTTCAGGTCACATGAACGTCGAAACGCTTTCCCATATTCACCACACTTATGGCGATTCCTTGATGGAACCTCACAGGCTTTTCTTTTCTCAGCATCATCTGTTACCAGCATCAGTGTTCTCTCACAGTCAATGTTTCCACCTACATCAGTAACAGAATGTTTCTTGAGACCACCTGAGTCAGTAACAGGTTCTTGTTTCAGGTACCCTATGTCCAGCAATTCTCTCTCACAATCAGTGTTTCCACCTGTGTCAGAAACAGAATGTTTCTTGAGACCACCTGAGTCAGTAACAGGCTCTTTTTTAACATCACTTGTTTCAAGTAATTCTCTCTCACAGTCAGTGTTTGCTCCTATATCAGTAACAGGTTCTTGTTTCAGGTCATCTATTTCCAGCAATTCTCTCTCACAGTCAGTGTTTGCACCTGTATCAGTAACAGGTTCTTGTTTCAGGTCCCCTTTCAGCAATTCCCCTATGTCCAGCAATTCTCTCTCACTGTCAATGTTTCCACCTGAGTCAGTAACAGGCTCTTTTTTGACATCACTTGTTTCTAGCAATGCTCTCTCACAGTCTCTCACATGTGTTTCAGTAACAGAGCCATGATTCTGCTGTTGAACTTGCACGTCCATCATCAGATTGTGGATGTTATGCTCTTCACTGAAAACATAAGAGTCACCATTTTCTTTATCATGTTCATGAAGTGAGTGAGTGAGTTTAGTTTTATGTTGCTTTTAGCAATATTCCAGCAATATCATGACAGGGGACACCAGAAATGGGCTTTATACATTGTACCCATGTATGGAATCGAACCCGGGTCTTCAGCGAGTGAATGCTTTAACCACTAGGCTACCACACTGCCCCTCATCCTCATGCAAGAAATGTTCCCAATAAACCACCACCAAGGGTGAGTAAGTGAGTTTAGTTTTACAACGCTTCCAGCAATATTCCCTTTTCTTTATTCCAAACAATTTTTACTATAAATGTTTGCTTTAATACGTAATGCATCAACCAAACAGATATTAAAGTGAAAAAATAACATTTTTATTGGTTTTACAGAACAATTTGATCTTCTTAAAGGCTTGGTACTACCCAATCACAACATGACTTTCTTTGTCATATTTCAGTATGGAGGACAATGGCAAGATGTTCAGGGTTAAACGCCTTGCCAATTGTAAACTGTCAGTGTGACAGGTATTTGACTATCTTGCCTGTATATAAGATGGCTTACACACCAATGATAAAGATGGTTTGTGGATCACGACAAGCCATAGTGAGATATAATAGAAACACTGGTCCAGTTAGAACATTTCCAAATTTGCCCCCCTCAGTGACAAAAATGATGTCTACTGCTAATCCTTGTTCTGACCTGCACCCTAAGTTCCCGTGCTAGTTCAGGTGATCAATGGACTTGTCTTTGTATACGTCTGTGATGGCTGCCATCAGTGGAAAAAGATATACAGTGACACCCTTGATATCCAGACACATTCTTTTTTGCGTAAATCTGCTGGATAACTGAATATCCAAATATCTGGATTTCTGTCATCCAGGCTTAGGTGTTGAAACGGTAGCGAGCATACACGTCTGCTTTAAAATCATTTCCAAAACAGCATGGTCGTTTTGATTTGCCAATTACAATTCACTCTGTGTCAGAGAGGCCTACTAATCACCACCAAAACCAAGTTGATCGGTCATTAATCCGGATTAGCAGACCTTGTCTCATGTCAAGACACGTGGAACACTCACGCTTCACTTCACACGGTCAGCGGAAGGTCAAAGCTTCATGTGGATAAGTGAGTCAATTCTGTGTTGATTTAGCCAGTTGGTTTGTAAAATTTACTAGCCGGGAACGGAAACCGCATATCTGTTACAGTCACTGTTATAACGTACGAGATTGTTTATTTATGAAAACTGACTGGAAGGCGAAGTTTCCGGATACTTGGGGTCCGGGTATCCAGGGTCTGACTGTACTCACCTTTTGTCGAAAACTTGTTATAATCACCATTTCATAGATTTTCATAAAACAAATGCTCATGATATAGTCAACTTTCCTTTTAGAAAGTGAACACGTCACACTGAAGTAGCATCATTACTTACTTGAAAAAAAGTGTTTACTTTGACTTTAACATTGATGTTTTATAAAAATACTAGCAATAATGACTTTGGGTTGATTTATGATACACTGTGATCAGAGGGAATGATATCACAGTCTGTGTCACAGTTGAAACACTCCAATGAAACACTCAAAATATGCAAATGAACAAAAGGAATAATGACCCTCGGTTTGGAATCATACTGGCTGACTGACTGAGTGAGTTTGGTTTTACGCCGCTTTTAGCAATATTCAGTTCCCATTTCTGGATAAGTTTACAAGAAAATACACACTTTAGTCATAATCTCTGCACATAAATACATACCTAGGGGATGCAACATTATTGTAACATGTAACATCCTTTTTTGTGCTAGGATCTGACCAGGTTTGTTATTAAACCAATAAAGTTAACACAACACATAATACTAGAGGCCTGATTCCTTTTGTTTCAGCCTGATAGATGTTGGTGTAATGTTTTTTATCACAAGCACTTCATCAAAAATCTGTGTTAGTAACTGGAGAGATTCTACAGATCCTGTTTCTAGATATGCTTTCACAGCAAGTATTCCTTAAGTGTGTGACTTAAGGTGTGATTATAATAATTCTTTCCTATATTCAGGACATTTTAGGGCTTGATTCCATGTCAGGCTTGGCGTCACTGTGATTCTTCATGTGTCTATGAAGGGCAGATGAGTCTGTACATTTGTTCCCACATCACCACACTGAAAAGGCATCACTCTACTGTGACATGTGCTTTTTCATGTCATATAAGAGCAGAAACATTCCCACAGTTCTGACACATATGTGGCGCACTGTGATTCCTCAGATGGGCCTGCACAGGAGTGTGTGTAAATGTTTTGTCACACTGCTGATAAGGTTCTTTTTAGGAGATTAACATCATGTGTTGGCCAATTTCCGGGTGTTATTGAGTATTTGAAGCACAGGAATTAATTTGGAAATGAATTTCAAATGAAATATTCCCGTTCTTCAAATACTCAACAACCAAATAGCCAACAAATGATGTTTATTGATGTTTATCTTCAAATACTCAAATGATGTTTATTGATGTTTAAATCTTCAAATACTCAATAACCAAATAGCCAACAAATGATGTTTATCAACATTGTAAACACAAAAGTAAACCAAAGGGTCCACACACGTTTTTGTGTCTGCACTCATTGACATCGAGTACGGGTACAGCAGTGAAATGTCATCAGCCGGACGTTTCAGCTGGTTCCTATAGTAGCATCTGGAACTGCACATTTGTGACATCATTCCATGTATCGGCAAAGGGATATATCAGCAAATTCTTTCCCACATTCTCCACACTTAAAAAGCTTCACTTTACTATGAATGCTTTGAAGGGCCTTCAGATGACTTGGGTGTTGAAATGCATTCCCACATTCACTACAAACATTAGGCTTGATTCTAATGTGACTCTCTCTGTGTTTATGCAGGTCAGATAAATGTGTAAATTCTTCCCCACACTCAACACACCGAAAAGGCTTCACTTTACTGTGGCACACATGCTGTTTCAAGTCAGTTTAGTTCACAAAAAATCCCCCACATCCCTTACACACATGTGGTTGGACTCCACTGTGATTCTTCAGATGGGCTCATATACAATTGAGTTAACACACTGATAAACCTCAGTTACACTGTGAGTCAAGATATGGTGTATCTTCAGGTCCTTTGATTGTCGGAATTGTTCCCCACATTCAGTACATGGATAAGGCTTGATCGCACTATGAATTCTCAAATGAGCTCTGAGGGAATTTGAGTATGGAAACGATTTCTCACACTCCCCACACTGATAAGGCTTGATTCCAGTGTGAACCCTCATGTGTGTCTGGAGATGACATAGATGTTTATACCTTTTATCACACACAGTGCATTCATAAGGCTTGATTGTACTGTGACTGGACATGTGTGACTTCAAGTGACTTGATTTTGGAAACGTTTTCCCACATTCACCACACTTATGATGATGCCTTGATGGAACCTCCACTGCGACCCTTCTATTATGAATATCCATGTGTTTCTGCAAGGTAGATGACCGTGGAAATTCTTTCCCACATTCACAACACTTATGATGATGCCTTAATGGAACCTCCACTGCGACCCTTCTATTGTGAATATTCATGTGTTTCTGCAAGGTAGATGACCGTGGAAATTCTTTCCCACATTCCCCACACTTTAAATGCTTGATTTTTCTGTGTCTATTCAAATGGGCCTTCAGTGCACGCTTTAGTGCAAACGTTTTCCCACACTCACCACACTGATAAGGCTTGATTCCACTGTGTGTCAACATGTGTCTCGTCAGGCTACTTGAACTTGTGAACTGTTTTCCACATTCAGCGCACTCATAAGGCTTGATTTCACTGTGAATCCTTGAATGGACGAGCAGGCTACTTGAATAAGTAAATGTTTTCTCACACTCACCACACTCATAAGGCTTGATTCCACTGTGAATCCTTGAATGAAGGTGTAGTGCAGTTGAATTTGTAAATGTTTTTTCACACTCACCACATTGGTATGGCTTGATTCCACTGTGTGTCAACATGTGTCTCGTCAGGTTACTTGAACGTGTGAACTGTTTTCCACATTCAGTGCATTCATAAGGCTTGATTCCACTGTGAATCCTTGAATGAAGGTGTAGTGCAGTTGAATTTGTAAATGTTTTTTCACACTCACCACATTGATATGGCTTGATTCCACTGTGAGTTAACATGTGTCTTGTCAGGTTATATGATTGTGTGAACTGTTTTCCACATTCAGCGCACTCATAAGGCCTGATTTCACTGTGAATCCTTGAATGGGCGAGCAGGTTACTTGAATAAGTAAATGTTTTCTCACACTCACCACACTGATAAGGCTTGATTCCACTGTGAACCCTCATGTGTATCTGAAGATCACTTAGACGTTTATACCTTTTATCACACACACTGCATTCATAAGGCTTGATTGTACTGTGACTGTTCATGTGTGTCTTCAAGTGACTTGATTGTGCAAACTCCTTTCCACATTTAGTACATTTATGAGGCATCTCTCCACTGTGAATCCTCATGTGTGTCTGGAGGTCATCTAGACGTTTATACCTTTTATCACACACACAGCATTCATAAGGCTTGATTGTACTGTGACTGGTCATGTGTGTCTTCAAGTGACTTGATTGTGTAAACTCCTTCCCACATTTAGTACATTTATGAGGCTTCTCTCCACTGTGAATCCTCAAATGAGTGTTCAGGGTACATGAACGTTGAAACGCTTTCCCACATTCTCCACACTTATGATGATGCCTTGATGGAACCTCACAGGCTTTGCTGTTCTTAGCATCATCTGTTACCAGCATCAGTGTTCTCTCAGAGTTAGTGTTGCCACCTGTGCCAGTAACAGGCTCTTTTTGGACTTCACTTGTTTCTAGTAATGCTCTGTTACAGTCTCTCACATGTGCTTCAATGACAGAGCCATGATTCTGTTGTTGACCTTGCACGTCCATCATCTGATTGTTGATGAAATGCTGTTCACTGAAAACATAGGAGTCACCATTTTCTTTATCATGTTCATGAAGTGAGTGAGTGAGTGATTGAGTTAGTGAGTTTATTTTTTATGCCGCTTTTAGCAATATTCCAGCAGGGGACACCAGATATGGGCTTTAAACATTGTACCCATCAGGGAATTAGAAACACAGGTCTTTGGCATGACACGAATGCTTTAACCACTAGGCTACACCACCGCCCATCCCATCAAGGAAAATACACACCAGTATCGGTGGATTGTGAGCTCTTACTTCCCAATAAAAGCATAATCAACCAAATAAATATTATCATTTACTATAAATGTTTGCTTCAATAAGTATTATAAATTCATCAAACAAAAAGTAATTAAAAGTGAAAAAATAATATTTTCATCGATTTTACATCAAGCTTAAAGGCTTGGTACTATCCAGATTCTAACCAAGATCTTAAAGAGTGTCCACCCTATGTTCCCATGCTAGTTGAGGTGATCAATGGAGTTGACTTTGCATATGTTTATGCAGTGTATGAAATAAGGCCCGTCCGACCGCCCAAACAGGCTAGATTTCTGCCAGACAGTCTAATCTTACAGCTAGCCAGCCTGATGGATGGGTGGAAAAAAATATTCAGATAACGTGTCCACTGGCACTGTCTATTTAGTATTTAAGAAGGACTGGTTAAATCTCTTCTGGGCTGGTAAGTTTTTGAAGTTACCAAATGTCAGGGTGGGTTTTTGGCTTATTTCATACATTGGTTTATGAGATGGCTGCCATCAGTGAGTAAAGATATTCTCACCTATTGACGAAAACTTGTCATCAATACTATTTGATAGTGATTCATAACAAATGTTGATATAGTCAACTTTACTTTTGGAAAGTGAATAAGTCACACTGAAGTAGCATCATTACCATCTTGAAAAAAGGAGTTTTCCTTGATTGTAACACTGAGGTTTATAAATATAGGAGCAATAATGGCTTTGGGTTGATTTATGATACACTGTGATCTGAGGGAATCATATCAGTACACATTAAACTTTGCATCATAATCATTACAGGGTGATATTTGACAGGAGATATATATTGGAATGCATGGTTCACTTCTGGTACCATACTCTACTTGTGAAAATACACCATAGCAAAACATGAAACAGATCAATGTTACTTTAACATTATTTGGGGCAGTGGTTGAGTTTAGTTTTACTCCACTTTTAGCAATATTCCAGCAATATCATGGCAGTGGACACAGAAATGGGCTTTACACATTGTTCCCATGTGGGGGAAGAGAATCCTGGTATTCAGCGTGACAGGCGAACACTTTAACCACTAAGCACCTTCAAGAAAATCATGCATTTGCCACATTCTGGTTATATACTCAAAGCCATTAAAAACGCAATTACTAATTTATGTAATATTTCTGGTAAAGATTTGGTGGACTATTCCCCTCATGGCACATACAAGCCCCTTCTTGTGGAGTTCTGGGTTTGAATCCAAGATCAGTTCTCAGTAATGAACTTTATTGTTCAAAAAGCAACATTTGCCTGTATCCATGAGTTTAAGCAGTCCTAACTCACATGTTTAGCCACATGCATCCCTGGACTCTGGTCCTTTAAAGACAGCTCCAAAATTCGTCACTTGGGAAAAATGTAACGCCTAACAGCAAAATAACAGAATGCTCAATTGTGATTATTGTTATTTCACTATCAACTAAAAGTTGCAAATGAAATATTACAATAGTGGAATATATAATTCCTGGGAAATGAGAGCTTTAGATACAATTTTTCCAATCATTGAACCAAATTCTGTTAGTTCATCTCAATGTGTATGCCTCAACTGAATCGCATTCAGATCTTGCTATGGAAGGCTCCGTTTAAGAGAAAATACACACAGTAATCATAATCTCTACAAATAAAAAACACACCCAACAGAAGAGGAAGTACAACATATATGTTGATTATTACATCCAGTGATGTTTTGATTGCCAAGTTTACATCTTTGATCATGTTTGTTATCTCCAGTATGTTCCCCTGAAACAATACAAGGCATATTTCTCCTGCTCCTAATAACCAAGGCTTCATTCCACTTTATCTCACCATTTGCCCAACACAAACGCAGTTAAAACCATACCACAATGGAGTGATAAGGTCATTTTTGTCTGTAAGAGTGGTTACTTGACTTCTGTTTCTGGTGACATTGCTCTCGTGTTGCCTCTGAGAAACACCACGTGTTGCTTTTGTAAAGTTTTTGACACACACTGAACAGATTGATTTTATTGTGATTCTGAATGTCTGTTTCAGGTGATATGAATGATTGTGAAAACTCTCCCACATTCCGTACAGATGAGGCTCGATTCCAGGAAAGGATCAGTTCTGCTGTGATCCCTGATGTATCTCTGCAGGTTAGATGAATTTGTTAGATGAACAGGTTAGATGAACTGTACCAGGCGCAGCCCTTGCTGCTCGCTGAACCGCACTGTCTCAAGCGCT